TTGATAACTACAATTCTGTAATACTATATTTTTCGTATTCTATTGTAGTAATAATTTATGTACTCATATTCTATCAGATTCTCACATGATTTGTATATATATTACATGAGAATTATTACGATTATTTCTAGTGTCTCAGAATACTGCACTTTGGTCCAGCCTAAAAAGTATGTTTTAATTAATGTTACTATGATATGGCAAATGCGTTTACATTTATGACATTTCAAAGATCAGATTACGAATTTTGAACACAGATTAATAATAACAAAATTAGGATGTATACTACCTTCTGGTACATTAAGGAGAAACAGGAGCATACATATGGCATCAACTGTTCTTTCAGATTGGGAATTCTTCAGCACATTGAAGTAAATAATTAATTTTAGACGGGTTTCATGAATCTTGTTGTGCCATTTTGTAGTATTCATTCTTTACAGTCTCAAGGGACGCTAGATTGTTATATGAACGTTTTGATATTACATTGACGTGCGTACAGCCTTGAAATATTCACCACGGTCATGCACTTACGTAAAATTAATACTTTCTTGCTTATTACTGGGGGAAATATGAACAGATGTCTCTGGTAGGAACCAGGAAGATTTTTTTTACAGGCATGGAAACAGCATCAGTTTAACTTTTTCCTGGTGATTATAATATTTCTAATAAATATCAAAATATGTTTATAATTTTTTTTTATATTATGGCCATATTCTTGTACTCTCTGAAGTTCTTTAGAGAAATTTTTATGTCATTAAACATATATAATATTTGTAGTTTACTTTAAGACTTTGGGCAATGATGGTGGTAACAAAATGAGTTCTTAAAGTGACAAACAGTAATTTCTGTAAACAATAAGAGTGTTTTGGAATTCGAGATTTATACGTAGCTGAAGTTGAAGTTTAGTTGAAGAGAGATATTTCTGGTCTCGTGTATTTTAAGAATGGAAGGCTAATAGAACTAGCCTATTAAAATGATGTAGTCTTTATTGTTTTAAGACCACAGAAGTAGCTGGAAGATGATTTCAGTTCTTGCACAGATGTTTATTTAATTTTGTTGATTATTTTAATACTAGATTAAGTGAATTAAGAGAATTAATGGCATTTTTAAGCTTCTCCTCCTTGTGATGGTGGAGGAGAGGGTCTATTTTGGTTTCCCTGGGGACGGGGTTTGCTAGGTTTGCTGGGAGCTGAGGCCGGGGGAGAACTGCGTCCCTGTGAGTTGTTCAGTCCTGC